ATTGATTGATCACATGACTTCCACATGGATCTTATTATTTGATTTGAAATTTCATTTGGGAATGTTCAATTTTATCATGAAATGAAGTTATATAATCATTTAAGCTATTTAGTTTATGTGTATGTTAAAGTTAGTCCAAATAAGTAGTATTCTGATCTTACATAAATGAGATCATGAGTCAATTGAGGCTAGACCACCATGGAAAACCTGGAAGCACTGGACGGCCGTTTCGTCCTGTCATGGGACTCTTCAGCAGTGCGCATCCACCATCCCGCTTCGCGAGATTCCAACCCAGGACCTATCAGTCTCGCGCCTAACCTATAGACCACTGAGTTGGCCGGCATCCATCGGTGTGAATGTCTAACTTCAACAATTCACTTAATTGAGCAACCATTCACCAATGTCTTCAGTGAGTTACTATCTCCCAACAGACCTGGTTGAACTCCACTGGTTACTGCTTCTCCCTAGAACTCCATGAAATACCTCATGGAGCCAGTCACTAGTGAGCATATAATCATTATCAGAAAGAGGTTTTGTGAAAATTTTAGTAATTTTATATAGTTGAGATCTACTGAGGAGTCTCACAATAGAACGAAACGGCCATCCAGTGCTTTCAGGTTTTCCATGATGGTCTAGCTTCAATTGACTCATATCTCAAGTATATAAAAAAATTACTAAAATCTCCACAAAACCCCCTTCTGATAGTATTCTGATATGTTTACGTTTCTACAACAACAATCATTGTTGTCATTCTAACCGTTGGAATATGATACTGCCACATGATTCACACCGATTTCATTTGTTTACTATCGAATACATGATAGCATGTATCAGTGGATATCATTTATTTCATTATCCTTTCCTTGTGAAAGTCATATTTTCTTTATTCTTGTTCGGTTATAGTTGTCTTCATTGTCATTGTACATAGGTCATTCGATCTATCTAGTTATATATATCTGTTTCTCATTAGAGGCATCTTCTAGTCATATGCAAATTGTGTTATCCTTCCAGTAAGACATTCTAATCTTTTGAAAACTTATTTATTCCTTTTTTATTCTACAATGAATCGTCAACTGTTTGTTCTTGACATTGAGTATAAGCTATATGCCTGCTTGAATATCTGAACTACGTGTTCCTGCCATCTGGATATTTCAACAAGTTATCTGTTTTTTTTTGTTTCTTTTAACATACCGCTACACAGACTCAGTGGTCTAGTGGTTAAGCGCTCGAGCGCGAGATTGATGGGTTCTGGATTCGAGGCGGGGTGGGATCGTGGATGCACACTGCTGAGAAGTCCCGTAATAGAATGGAACGGCAGTTCATTGCTTACAGGTTTTCCGTGGTGGTCTAGCTTCAATTGACACTCATGATCTCAACTATCAAAATTACATCATTATGCCTAATAGTCTCATAATTTATTCAGGTGCGTTTGTGAAAAGTTTACGACATTTCAATGTAATAGTTATAAAAGAGCCCAATCAGAGACATGTTGGTTGCGACAGTAAAGGAATTCAGTGGATTTCTTAGTTATTCTGTCAAGTTTAATGTAGCGAATACCTGAATCAATTTTCTGAGAAGCTGTATAGACAAACGTGAATATCTAAGATCGTTTTCCAAATAATCTAGTTACAAAAAGCTGATTGTTATATAAAATGGCTGAAATAAATAAGCTACTGATAAGTAGTATACATCTCAATTTTAAATTATCAGCTCTAGTTTTAGCATTGAACAAACTATTTTTAAATTGGGGATCTTGTGATAATCTATCGCACAGGCGAAAACAAATGCAGGAGAAGATGACCAATGTAGCAGAAGCCTCAGCAACAGTAGGTCTCAACATACACAAAGGAAAAAGCAAGATTCTCCTATACAACATAACATGCATCGATCGAATCACATTTGAATGAAAAGCTTTGGAGGATATAAAATACTTTACATATGTGGGCAGCATCATTAGTGAGTACGGTGGATCTGATGCAGATGTAAGGGCGAGGATCGGCAAAGCAAGAACAGCATATTTATAACTGAAGAACATCTGGAACTCAAAACAATTGTCAACCAACACCAAAATCACAATTTTCAATACAAATGTCGAGACAGTTCTACTGTATGGGGGTGGAAACCTGGAGAATTACTAAAGCCATCATCCAGAAGATACAAGTGTTTATTAACAGTTGTATACTTCGGATCCGTTGACCAGACATTATCAGCAACAACCTAATGTGGGAGACAACAAATCAGATTTCAGTGGAGGAAGTAATCAGGAATAAGCGTTGGAAGTGGATAGTACACACATTAAGGAAATCACACAACTGCGTCACAAGAAAAGCCCTCACATGGAATCCTGAAGGTCAAAGGAGAATAGGAAGACCAAAGGACACATCACGCCGAGAAATAGAGATAGGCATGAGAAGAATGAACAAGAACTGGATAGAACTAGAAAGGAAGGATCAGGACAGAGTGGGTTGGAGAAAGCTGGTCGGTGGCCTATGCTCCATTG